GACCCTGACACACTTGTGAGGTGGGCTGATGCCAACTTCATGAAGTTTAACCATGACAAGTGCAAGGTCCTACACCTGGGTCAGAGCAATCCCAGGCACAGCTACAGGTTGGGCAGGGAAGAGATTCTGAGCAGCTCTGTGGAGAAGGACATGGGGGTGTTGGTCAATGAGAAAATGAACATGAGCCGGCTTCAGTGTGCGCTTGCAGCCCAGGAAGTCAACCGTATCCTGGGCTGCATCAAAAGGAGCGTGACCAGCAGGTTGAAGGAGGTGATCCTGTCCCTCTACTCTGCTCTCGTGAGACCTCACCTGGAGTATTGTGTGCAGTTCTGGTGTCCTCAACATAAAAAGGACATGGAACTGTTGGAACAAGTCCAGAGAAGGGCCACGAGGATGATCAAGGGACTGGAGCACCTCCCGTACGAAGACAGGCTGAGAAAGTTGGGGCTGTTCAGCCTGGAGAAGAGAAGGCTGCGTGGAGACCTCATAGCAGCTTTCCAGTATCTGAAGGGGGCCTATAGGGATGCTGGGGAAGGACTCTTCATTAGAGACTGTAGTGATAGGTCAAGGGGTAACGGGTTAAAACTTAAACAGGGAAGTTTAGATTGGATATAAGGAAGAAATTCTTTCCTGTTAGTGTGGTGAGGCACTGGAATGGGTTGTCCAGGGAGGCTGTGAATGCTCCATCCCTGGTGGTGTTCAAGGCCAGGCTGGATGAAGCCTTGGGTGGCATGGTTTAGTGTGAGGTGTTCCTGCCCATGGCAGGGGGGTTGGAACTTGATGATCTTACGGTCGTTTCCAACCCTAACTATTCTATGATTCTATGATCATGGAATGGTTTGGATTGGAAGGAACCTTAAAGACCGTCTAGTTCTAAGCCCCATGCCACAGGCAAGGACACCTTCCAGTAGAACAGGTTGCTTAACACGATCTCCAGTTTCTCCTCTCCCTCCTTATTCCTATGGTTCTTCCAATCTGACTTCATTTCTTTCTTTAGCTTCCTCTCTGTTGCAGTCATTCTCCTTCAATATGGACATTACCTGCCTCTTTCTGAATTCCCATTTCCTTGTCTTTACCTTTCTCTTGCTCTCCCAGCTGTTCACCTGCACGCTTGCATTGCAGGACAGCACTGGCTCCCTGAAGCCAGCAGTGAAGCAACAGCCAGAGAGCTGGAGACTTGCATTGAAACTGTTAGGAAACTAAAAGCAAAGAGTAAAAATAAATAGTTGGTTTTCATCTTGATTACAAAGATAACATCACTGCTACTTAGGGCTCTGCAGTGTCTAGTTGTTAAGGCATTTATTAAAAGCCTGACTGGGAGATGTGCAGTAAAGACAGGATTTGCAGGTGAGGCTTGGTTTGGCAGTGTCTAGAGAAAACACAAGACATTTCTCAAAGGAAGCGATGCAAATCAAAGCAGCAACATGGTGGCAGGTTGCATTGGTAAGAACTGCAATGGAATATGCACCGGGAGAAAAACTACTCCTCAGCTACATCTTTCAGGAAAAGGACAAGCACATCATTGTAGACAGATCTGTGAAGAGCTCTGCGCTGAAAGTGGTTTAGAAAACAAGCAAGCAAATTCTTCGGTTACAGAAAAGATAGTATGTAGAGGAATCGTATATAGCTGCTTTGTGGAAATTCACAGCTGCGTGTCTTTAATCCTGGCTCAATCAGGGTATTGCAGAAAGGGAGGGGATTCAGAGTTCCTAACAATATTAAATAGCATGTTAGGGCAAACTGATGCTATTTCATTACGAGATGAGGAGAACAAAAGCTGACATTTAGGCCCAAATAGGACAATTACATGATGCAAAGCTAACCGCAGGTGGCTTTGGGTGACCAGCTCATAAACTAACTTCATAGAAAGATTTTTTGCTGACTGCCAGTTTGTTAAGCTTTGGTTCCTCACTACAGTTGTTGCTACTCAGTTGTAAGTTTACACAAGGGATACCATACTGTACAGTCTTGACTGAACCAGGAGGTGAACACTGCATGTGTTTTACATCTTTATCTGCATGAGAGACACTATGCACACATTTCACTCTGGGGGGTCAGCTATATGGTAAGACCCCTACCAAGGCAGATGCAGGGAAACAACATAAAGATAGCTCCCATCTCCTCTGTCATGTGCCTGAGAACCATTAACTACTAGATGGTGCCATGCACAAGTAGTTATTCCCTCAGTGGGAGCACAAGATCTTTCAGACTGCATTTAGTAGGACCTATTTGACTCCATTTTCACAGTGTGTTTCTAAATCTGTTAGTATACTGTCACCAAACTATTGAGCTTTAATATTGACTAGGCACAGCGACTGATAAATCATCTGAGGTAATGTGAGTGCAGTTTGCCCAGACATAGATTTTCTGGCAGTCAGGCTTTGATTTCTGTTTTGTATGCATAATACCTTAGCACACATCTCTTAATAATATGGTCCCATTTAATTTCCAGGATTGGAACTTAAATCAACCTGGACATCAGTTTTTATATAATATATATTTATGGTGATAGGTATTTTTGAGCTAAGAGGCTGTTACTGAGAGAGCCTACTGAACCATCAGTAGTCTCAATGGAAAATAGTTGCACATGGGGAAAAGCTGTAGTTTTTAATGCTAAAAATATTATTCAGTTTTAATCCCTTTTTACTGTAAAATTAGACACATTTCTATTGCTTTTGATCCTACTTATAATCCTAATATGACTTAATTAAATTTTCATTTGATTCCTCAATTTGATATTCCCTGTCATTGAACATGATGTGTGAACATTGAACATGATGTGTGAACACTGAACATGATGTGCTGTACCCCTGATTTAGGCAGTTCTAGTTTCTATGCTGAAGGAGTTAAAAACTCAGCTCATAAAACACTATCTCTTAGCCCTCTCACAATGTTGTATACCATTACACCCAGCCCAGTCATAAGTCCATGCTGTAAATATTTCCTTTACTTAGAGGCTACATTTTTGCTGGATTTTGCCATTGAAAAAGAAAATAAAAATATTTTTTTTTTGTGATGTAACAGCAGGGCATGCCACTGCCTTGTTACCACTGAGGGGAAGTCTTGTATTGATAAACCTACAGGTTTCTTTTGCTCATGAATGACCCCCAGTTTCAAAAGGAGAAAGCTATGATTCAAACGTGTCTCATTCCTGGCTTATTTATCACTGTATTCTGGGATTTTACACTCATAGATTGTGGTATTCTCCAACCACATCTCAAGTTGCTTAGATATCCAAGCTCTGTTATAATTCCTCTCATTTACACTAATTTCCAACCAGTTGGAACAGGGATAACCTCTCATACTTAGGGTTTTACCATCTTTAACCTGAACGTTGTACCTTCCATGAACTCAGGACCTGCAGCATCCTGAAGTGTTAACAATGTTAGAAATCTAGTGCAACAGCTTTCCCTTGTCTTCAAAGCTGTGGAAGGGGTAAAAATTATCCATAGGAGGAGGCACCTGCACCAACAGAAACAGAGTTTCCCATGTTTGACACTGGAATTGCTTCCAAATTTTCCCGGCCGTTGCTCTGTGCCCGTTCTTCTCTTCCAACTCAGCCACAGCAGTTGACAAACAATGAAAGACATTAAATATACACAAATTGTGAAAGAAAAGCAAGCAAAGCAGAGGAACCCAGCATTTAATACTCAGTGACTTTTCATTCTTCTTCTGCACTACTTGTGGAGGACAAAATGGAGAAAATTTTGCTTGCAATCCATAAATTTCAGGTTGTGTCAAGGTTGCCCATCTTCCCTTTGTGATCTGAACTGACAAAGAACTCATCCCCTTTAACTACAAGCGTGACTTCCCATTTATCCTGCATTCTGTACTCCTGAAGCACCACCTTTACCTCTTTCTTATCTCCTTGACTGCTTCCCTATTTTTTTCTTGCATTTCTAATCACTTCTGGTGCATCTGTTATCCAGGTTAACGCATTTGCCTCGGCAGGGGTCTCTGGTACAACTGAGAACCTAATTAGCTGCAGAGGATTTCATGGAGTCCAGGAGCATAGCAGAAACCAGGCAGGCTGAGGCATTTTCAAAGATAACAAGGTACCCAGGACCCTCATAGTGAGGGCCAACAGCAATTTTTGGAAAAAAAAAAAAAATAGATATTTTCTCTTCCACCTCATGCTTGAAGGTGCAATACTACTGCTAACAGGAAAGGTGTGGTGTTAAACCTCTGTTGACAGGGAGAGATGCAACAGAAACCTGGTGATTGCCATGGTGATTTCCACACCGTTGGTGGGAGGGACAATGGTGGCACCATGCAAGATCCCCAGTTAGCTCTTCCTAATGCACTGAGGGGAGGGAGATGGAAGCAAGGTGTAGGAGCAGGAATTGTTACATGCTGTTGGAAACAATGGGGTGAAGTAGACAGACTAACAGGTCTGTCTGATGGCAGGTCCTGGGTGTTTCGTGGAGCTGCTCATGGGTTTAAAAGTAAGCACTTAAATGCCTATTGGCTGCACAAGGGCTTTAGTGCTCTTCAAACTAGTGAAGCAGATGATACTTTAAAGGCATTAAAAGTAGGTTAAGTATTTCACTGACTGAGTAGATATTTGAATAAAATTGACAGCCTTTAAGTGTAGATGAGGAAATAGAGGGGGTTCTCAGTGGGATCATCTCTATAGGGTTAGAGAATAGCTCTGCTTTATTCCCTCTTCAGTACTTGGTCTCCCTGGCATGACTGCCAAAAAAGGACAAGTTGTACCAACTCTGATGGGAGTTATCATTCCACTTACTAACAGACTGCGACAAGCAATTCTTTTTTACACAGGCCACCTAGAAACCAACAACAAAAAAATACAGGGAAGAAAGAAGGAGAAAATAATTATTTTTTTTTTCATTATTCACTATTAGCCAGTTAGCTGGGCATGTTCTAAGAGGGCTGAATTGCAGATACAGGCAAACGCAGGCACTGATAACAATGTGATCCAACCCAGTGCAGCTGATCTGTGCAAGGGCTTGGCACCTTCACTGGGCTGAAAGGAGCTGGTTAACCCTTACCCCTTCATCATCTAGAAGCAACTCCTTCACATCTGATTTAATGAGTCCACTTTAAAGAGCTCTGAAGCATGGTTAAATGCATTTAATATACATTTTACTTCTGTGATTAGTAATACCTGAGATGACTAAATTGTATTTTCTACCCCCCCCTTTTTTTTAGCCTTTCACTCAGATGAAGTAACAAAATGAGGTTACATGATTTCTCTTTGGAGTTTATAATCAGCAATGTTATTTTAATAATCTACATTTAGTTCCACTTTCTTAAATGCTAGTACAATGTGGCAGTGTTTTGGTTGCAGGCTCAGGAAGACATTTCGAAAGCCAACAAACGTGATCACAACAATTTGGTTTTGGTTAATATTATTCCTTTTAAATGTCATTAAATATTTCTACCAACACTGGTGTGGTTTAACCCAGCACACAACTAAGTACCACACAGCTGCTCACTCACATCCCACCCCCAGTGGGATGGGGAGGAGAATCGGGGGGGGGGGGGGGGGGGAGGTAAAACTCCTGGTTTGAGATAAGAACAGTTTAATAATTGAAATAAAGTAAGCACTGTACCACCTACTAAGAAGAAAATTAACTCTATCCCAGCCAAAAGCAGGACAAATATTAAGTTTTGTAAATATTTTTGAAAGTAATCAGATTTCTGACCTTAAGCTGTCTCATGTCGGGCAATAAAAATCAGCTTTAAGAAAATGCTCTGAATTAGCTTTAACAACTTTTTCAACCTGTAAGAGATCAGCAGATCCATATGATCTGATAGTGTAGTGGTAGCATATTTTTGCAATTCCTGGTATTCCTTGTGGCAGTAAATATGAAGCTTTGGCATCACTATTGGAAAACAACAGGTTATGTTATGTAAATATAAGTGTCATCCACGCTGAGTACACCTACACGAAACAGGCTGTATTCTTACAGTCAGCACAACTTTATAACCTTATTTTTGAAACCAGCCATGTTATTAACTCACCCAGTGTTATAAGGAATGAAATATTTATCCTATGAAAGATAGGAATTAGTAACAATAGTAACTTTAAAGCCCATAAATATAAATGCATTATTAATCATTAACAGAAATCAGGCCATTAATATTGCTTCAAAGTTCTCTAGGAGAGGAACTGTAGGAAACTGAGGTTTTTCCTCTATATCTTATACATGGCTACTTGTCCTCTATCTTTATTAAACAAAAAAGTGATTGCTTAGGAAAAAAATCTGTTGCTTTTTTGCATGGCTGTCCCTCTTTTGACACCATCTGTGGTCAGATTAAATGCTGAGATCTGAAGCAACATCTCTGTGTTTAATCTCTTGTTGATACTTCTGCAGATTGAGAGGTAAAAAAAAAAAATGATTACAGGAGGCTACCACTCGTACTAGTGTGAGTTATGCCAGTGCCATCCTAATGAATTTCTTAAGACAAATGTAAATATGACCCTGGAATATGGAAACATACATTTTTCTTCTCTGAGGTCTAATAAAAACACAAAAGCTTTCTGTGTTGTTCAATATGGCATTAGAAGTGCTTCACAACATATCCCCAGACCCTTTGCAGCTTCTGAGGCTGAAATTAAAGTAAGCTGAGTTTCCTGCAGGACATGAAGTGTTTTCCTTTTAATTGTTTACAATTTGCTCTCTACTGTGCCTGTGCTTGGAGCCGATACCATAAAAAGCCACTGACAAATCTGAAGCGGCTGCTTTGCAGCCAGGAAAGCAGAAGAAACGTGCGCAGGGGGCTTTCCTACTGACAGGCAATAACTCCGCGGTAAAAGACCCAGCAAAGTTACAAACCACATACTTTTGCCCTTGCATGGAGCATAAAATAGGTCATGGCAGAGAGACGCTGTGGCTTTAAGTATTGCCCGGCCTGAGCCGGATTATCATTAGGTTACGTAACTGCTGATGAGCTGCTTTTCATTAAGGCTTCCCCGAGTGGTGCTGGGAGCAGGCGCTGCCTCCAACAACCATCCTGGGGAAGGATTTCCTCCAGGCGTGCCGCCGTGCTCTTTCGAGCCCCGCAGTCTGCAGCTAGGCCAAGGTGATTGTGTGAACTGGAACATGCTAAATCGCTGTCTGAATGTGAAACAACCCATTCACCTTTACGGGGTTGTGCATTAATTTCAGCTAAAGTGTGTTTGCAAAGTTGTAAAAGTAAGAGGTTCAGAAAAGATGTTAAATCAGTGTGTTAAAAGCATCCTGGGCCCCGGCTTGGAGCTTTGTTTTTCTTTAGTGAAATGCATCCTCTGCTGCAAAACCCTAAACCTTCATATCTTTTGGTCTTGAACATGAGCAAAAAGACTGTTGCACAGGAAATGACAGAACAACACTACAGCAACAGCACAGCACACCTGCACCTCACACCTGAGGAGGTAAAAAAAAAAAGTAGAACGCAGCTGGTTTTAAGCATAGAATCATGCATGCTTGAAGCACCACACAGTGTTCAGGTAGGACCCTCAGGTGAAGTGCTTGTGTCCATCGCTCTGTTTCACGTCAGGATGAGCTGAAGGCCGAGTGATGTTCATCCTCAGGTCTCAATTCTTCCATGTGCGGCCTTTCAGCTGTTGTAGGAGCTGACAGTGGTGATTCTGGAAAGACGTTCCTCTGGCTCTCACAGGTGGACAGGCCCCACGCAGGCAGATGCATGCTGCAATCCTGGCAACCTGCTAGTCCAGATGCCATCACCAAATGCCATTCTTGTACCCTTCTCCTACCATTTGCTCCTCCTGGTGCTCCCTCTCCTGGCATTCCTATTCAACACTCCATTTAGACCAATCCAAAATTTTCTGTTGCATTTTAAGGGGGTAAGTAAGTTGGTAGTGACAGAGAAGCTCAGCCTGAAACAGACTCAAGCCCATATTCAGCTCTAAAGAACGATACTCATACTAAGTAGAGGCAATACTATCACCAAAGAAATTATTTATTACTTACTACAATGCTGAGTTTGGCCAAGAAATTTCAAAGTTCTGTATTACTAATTTTGCCTTCTTAGATTAATGACTATACTCTGCCTACCTTGTGATTTACAAGAAACTCAAAATTGGCTGCTTCATAATCTGAACTAAAGCCTGAAAATGGCTTTTAGCCCAAGTAAGTTGTAAGGAAAAAATGGGCTACAAGTGACAGAGTCACACAGAGAGCTTATGGCAGGAAACAGGACAACAAGGAGACCCTGACACTGTTCTGGTTGGTGATTCCATCACTCTTGCTTGACCTATGCTTAAACCTCTTAAACACTGCTTTGTATATGTAAAATGAAGTTAATCATATCATCTTGTTTTACAAAGTGCTCAGGCTAGAAAAGATCTAACAATAGCAAATTATTTGTCATCTGAAGTCAGTTGGAAATTAAAGCTGCTTTCAGATAAAGTTTCACCCACCATGAAATCACTTACCTGGCAGGAGAGGCCTTTGTTTTAGACTTAATTTTAGTAAGTTTTGAAGTAATTTAATTTTGCTGATGGATTTCATTTTTATTTTGTGCGTATTTCAATGAGGCATTTAATCTTTTCTATAATACGTTTTGAAGTCTCATTCATTTAAATTGTCAAAGCCTGACAGCTCTGTAATGTGCTTAAACCCAGCATTGTTTATATCTGCATTCCATTTAAAAATTAACTTGCAGATTAAGTAATAAAAATGGTCTTATACTTCTCAGTGCTAATATCAGTGAAAACTTACAATGTCCCTACCGCCTGAGATTAGCTCCTATATTACTTTCTCGTGAGGATTTCATGGAGGGGAATATTCTAACATTACGCTCTGGTCGTGAAGGCTGAGCGTTTTCTGCCTGAATAAAACCAAAGTGGGCATAAACCTGCAGAGGCAGTGGAGAGCTGGCAGCTCAGGAAGACGCTGGGACTTTTACACAGCTTCCTTCCCTCGCTGCTGTCATGAAGTGAACAAGACCAGAAGGAATCTATTAGCACTTCCACCTAGATGTGTTGCAACGAAGGGTCATGCAGCAGCATGCAGTGGCTGTTAATGTTGCCTCAGCCCCTACCAAGAATGCAATTAAAGGAGAATCAGAAGCATTCGCTCCTTACCTTGTGGATAGCATGACTTTTGCAGCAGATTTGTTGTGGGTGTGTGATCTCAGGTCACTGATCTCCTCTGTCTTGTACTTTCACCACTTCCCCGCTCATTCTGATGCTTTTGTTCACACACACAGGCCTGAAACTCTAAAAAAAAAAAAGTTTACTATTTGTCTAGTTGAAGATGGACACAACATACAGCATTTTATATAATATGCACACACAGTTAACCTGGCTGCAACTGATATAAAATAGTCCAAGAAAAGTCTTACAGATCCCAAAATAACTGATAAGCCTGCAATCAATATTCCCTAGCCCTTTACCTGCCGAAGGGTTAACTCAGGCTTATCCTGCCCATTCCCCTCACAGGTGCTCCAAAGATAAGGAACCAGTTATGAAATACAGCTTGCGTGGGGTTTTTCTGGGAAGCAGAGAACTTCAGAGGTGACTGTGTGGACCCTAACAAAGGTGCAGATTTCCAAGGAAGACAAAAATTGAGATCAGATGACAATGTGGGTGACCACACTGGGTGGATTTGCAACGTTGTGTGTTTGACTGGGCCTTTTGAGGCCAACTTGTTTTGTTGTAATATTGGCACTCTCAAGCATGAGGAATAAAGAGCCCTCATGGAGGAAAATGAGCCACCTGAAGCTCTGGTCTATTTTAGCTGTTAAACCCATTGAGTTGTTTTGCCTCGTGACACGTGAGGTGTTTGGGGATTTCACAGATCCACACAGAGGATGAATAATGTAACCAGATGCAGCCTGAATGTGATAAAATAGTTGACAGAACAATTGTGGTCTATCCATGCGCAGCAGCTTTGCGTGGAAATAGCCAGAAATGACAGTAAAGAGACCAAACGATGGGTTGAGGTCTGCGTGGGACCATCTATCATCCCATACTGCTTACTAAACTTTGTTTTGGTGTTCTGAGCTGATCCAAGGCACATTTCAGTCTTTTTGATGCCAAATGGAGAACACCACCAACACAAGATGAAAGCGGTAAGTCTTCTGTGAAGCCTTGGAAAACAAAACCCAACAGGTAACTTCCAGGACTGGATGCCCCTGCAGTGACAGCAGCTCCTGCCACATGAGCAGGGCAAGACCTTGTCACCTTGGGCTTGCCGAACCTGGCCCCACAGCCAGGCGTTGGGATGTTGGGGGAGGCAGGAGAAGCTGCACCATGCCTCAGCCCGGGAAGGTGTGAGGGGTAGGGAGGGCTGGCCAGAAGCTGAGGCCAGTATGGGGACAGGAGTGATGGCTCCAGCGGGACAGCGGGCCGGCGAAGTGGGCTTCCCGGCGGGCAGCGCCTGCCTGCGGCCGGTGCCGCCAGACCCCCCCCCGGGCCAGAGCGGGCAGGTCCCGGCCGCCCCCACTGCCGCCAAGATGGCGCCCACTCCCCCTACCCCTTCTCGGGGGGCGGCGGGCCCGCGGCTTCCCCAGCGCCTCCGCCCCGCGGTGCTGCCGCTTGGGTCAGGCCGGGCCGATCCGAGCCGCGGCGAGGGGCCGGCGACGGGAGGGGAAGATGGCGGCTGAAACCGACTGAGGAGGAGGAGGAGAGATCCGACCCGGGCCGTGGCTGCCTCCTCCGTCACCGCCCCCCTCGTCCTCGTCCAGCTCCGCCCCGTCCCACCGGGAGGGAAAGCGGCGAGCGAGCCGGAGCCCCGCAGCCGCGCCGCGCTGCCCAGGCAAGGGGCCCCGGGTGCCCGGGAGCCCGGCAGCGGGAACCGGGGCCCCCAGAAACGCCCGCCGCCGCTCGTGCTCCGGTCACCGCGATCGCCGCGGGGGCTGCTGCGAGCCGGCAGCCCCCCCCGGGCCGCCCCCGCCGCCTGGCCGGGGGAGTCGCTGTCGCGTTGCCCGTTGAGCTCGGCGGCCTCAGCCCCGGCGGGGGGAGGCGGCTGTCACCCAGGCAGCGGCGGCAGGTGAGTGGCGCCCGGCCGCGCCGCAGCTGGCGGCGGGGCGGGAGGACGGGCGGGCAGGCGGAGGGAAGGGGGGGGGGCGGCCCGGGCTCCCCGCCGCGCAGGGCGGGGGTGTGTCTGGCGGGGTCGGCACACCGCCCCCGGCCCCCGCAGAGCCCCTGGCCTGCGGGGAGGTGCAGCTGTCACGGGGGGACGACCCGGCCCCCCGCCCCGGGGCTGCCATGGCGGCGGGCGGAGCGCGGAGGGGCGCCGCGGCCTCCCCCCCCTCCTCCTCCTCCTCTCCCCCCTCGCCCGCCCTCCTTCTCTCACGGGGGGCTGAGAGGGCCGCCCCGGGAGACCCTGCGCGGAGAGCCTCTCCGGTCCGGGCACCGGAATCCCAGCCCTCCCTTTCCTTTATAACCCCTCACCCCTTATTAATGTAAAGTTGATTGCAAAAGTGAAAAAGCAGTTTTTTTCTCTTCTCGCCCCCACCCCCCCCCCCCCACCCCCAGCCTCTTCCCGGCTGGAAGATGGCTGAGGGGAGGCAGCGGAGCCGCGGCCGGGCCTGCGGGTACCCGCGGACTTCCCCGGGCAGGGAGGACGCTTCGTTTGGTGGCGGTTTAGGTGACAGCTCTTTGTCTGCGTTGTGGCATCGCATGTCCCCCCCCTCGGTGTGTGTGTCTGTGGTCCCCAAAACCACCTCCAGCCACGGCAGGGCGGTTCTGGTTATCAGAGGAGGCAAGTAAGTTGAGGGCTAAGGCAGCGGTGCGGTTGTCAGGGAAAGGTGGGGGTGGCCGTGAGGTACCGGGTGCGTCTTGGGGCCATCGAATCAGGGAACAGCCGAGTTGTCAGGCAGGGTGTGTGGGGAATTGGGCTCCCTGAGGGGTGTCTGAGCTTCCAGGTTTGGGGGGCTCCGCAGGAGGCTGGTGGTGTATCTAATGTCTGCCTCCCTGCTTCTGGCAGAGTGCTTGCCCTAAATTTGCTTAATTTCTCTTAGAGGCATGGACCAGCACCCGACTGCGAATAATCCTAAATACCTGCGGTGCATATGCAAGTGGTAGCCCTGGCTTGTGCAGTGGTGGGGCTCCAGCCGCTGGAATATGACATTTAGTGGTAGAAAAATCTGTTTGTGGAAAGGCTGTTTCCTTCCGATGTAGGTTGCTAGACATGCTTGAGCCCTCTGGTTTCCGAGGTGCGTTTTGACCTTTCAGTGGCTGAGAACTGGATCGTGTGTGTTGGGTAATGATCTTCCAGTGTCTTTTGCACCCAAAAGATCATGTTTGCAAAGGTGGAAAGGTGTTTAGCACTGGCTGGGGCTGCTGCTTGCTTCTGCTGGAAGGTTAATCAGCGTACAGTAGATATCAAATGTTCACTACCCACGTATGGCATAGCCAAAAAAAAAAAAAAGAGTGACACAGCAAAGTGTATTAAAACTGGAAATTTGGACTCGTGTGGGTGGTGCTTGTATGTTCTTCACCCTGTCTCATGGCTTGTGTTCTTTGTGTTGCTGGTTTAGACTGAGAAAAAAAAAAAGACTGGGTTTGTGTGGGCTGGCAGGATATACTTATATATGTGTGTGTAAGAGTTGTATGTGTCTATATATAAGGAGTAATATACCTGCTGAGTTCTAGCAGCAAGATGATAAACGTATATGAACAAAGAAGATGCTTCATATACTTGTCTGGAAATGTGCTGTCCCACTGCGGTTTGGAGGTTATGATCTTCTGCTTGTAGAATATTTCAGTAAACGTGTATGTGTTCTGAACTCTCTACGCTGTGCCCATTGGCTTTCTTACACAAGAGAAAGTAAAAAATACATGTACGTATGGAAGTACATGTAGTATGTGATACAGGTGTAGTTATGTACCTGGGCCTCTTGCAGTGCAGGAGGGAGAGAAGTGTTATAAACCAGGAAAACTTGGATACAAAGCCACAAATTTACAGGGAAGCTTGAAAAGTGGTGTAGTATCTGCAGCTTTGCAGAGCTGTTTTGTGAAAATTATTAAAGTTCAAGTTGCCACTTAAGGGGACAAACAGCTCTTGATGGTAGATAATAAAACAGTAGTAACTCTGGCAGTACTGCACCTGGCTCCAAGCCGATGGGCATGATGAAATGTTAAATCTCAACTTATTTGCTCAAGATGGGTATCTGTTGTTTGAAACGTGTTGCCAAACAATATGGCAGCACAAATCCTTGCTTCCAAAACAAATAGGCTTCCTGAGACGCGAGTGGAGGTTTGGCTCTTCGGAAGGCAAGCGTTTACTTCGTATTCTCTGCGGGCCAATTTTGATTTTTCATGTGTTTTCCCCAAGCCTTGCCCTCTGATAATGCTACGACACATGCTCACAACTGCATGACTAATTCATACAATTAGTCATACACTTCCACTGTAGATTTATTGGAGCAGTGTCACTGTTCTTCTGTTGTAAAAGTCTGTATTTGGGAACATTGTGCCCGCTGTTGACTTGTCTTGGGTCTCTTGGCGGGGTTGTTGGGTGGGCTGCTATGAACATTTGAAGCCTTGAGGATAATTAAGCTTAATTATAGAAGCATATTTTTCAAGGAACATATCTGCTGGAGATCAGCACCTTGTTGCTTGTTAATCTGAGGGGGGTAATTTGCATGAGACTTTGCAATGATTGTTAGAAATGAAGGTGTGAGTGCTACTACTAAAAATATCCCGTCTCCTACATAAATAGTTTGCCAGCTGAAAAACAGTATATTTTGTATAAGGAAACTATTTATATGACGAGTTATTCTTGTTTTGCTCGGTTGACTGTTTCTTTGAAGCATGGTTCTTATCTCTTTGATCAAAGGAATTTAAAAAAATAGTTTTTAAAGTGGATTCTGCCTTTAAAGACAAGATTTTAAGCAGGAAGGGCTTGGACTAACAGATAAATATTTTAAGCAGGTATTCCTGAAAGGCCAGTGCAGTGTGTAATACCCCGTAGCATGTGGCCATTGCTTCTACATAGGATCTTTAATTGCTGGCAGATGCAAACAAGCAATTTTTTTATTGGCGGTTCTATGTTATTTGTATTGCTGCAGCATCCAGGAACCCCAGGCACAGGCTGGGTTTTCAGTGGAGTAGGAGTGAGGCAAAAATGGAGCGAAAGTGCACTCCACTTCCCAAAACTTTCAGCCTAAACCTAGAGGCAGAGGAGCAGAGTTGTGAAGGGGAAGCAGCTGGCTGGTGGTGGTCAGCAGTAGACACAGTCTGTGAGCAACATAAATACGGAGTTTTGGGGTTTATTTTTAATCATGTTGCAGCAAACAAGTGCTTCATCGTCTTCTGGGAGCTGATTGCCTGCTGTTGTGCTGCTGAAGCTGGGCTGAGCCCACCGCCAGGGCTGATCCAGCCCCTCAGAGCCACGGTGGGTGAGGGAGGATGCACAGGACCAGCTCTGCTGATGGGTCTGAGAACAGCCGGGAGCTTTAACCTCTTTCCCTGGCACAGCAGGAGCTGGAATAGGATGTTTGCCTGTAGCTGCAATATTAAAAATTATGGCTTGCTTGTAAATGGCTTCAACTCTTTGCATACGTAGCCTTACACATGTGAGTCAGGGTGATGCAGAACAGGTTTTTACCACTATGGCAGCATCTCCATATAAAGTTTGACCATTTGAAATGCTGCGGCTTTGCTGTGGGACAAATTTTAAAGGACTCAGAGGCCTGGTCTAGGTATAAAGGATGTGTCAGCACCATGCACTTCACCTGGGCTCCTGTCATTTACAAAGGAAAAAAGAAAACCAAAACTGCTGAACTGGTTTGGAGGTTCTTTAAGCCTGAACTAATTTACCAGGCTGGGAATGTAGGTTAGAAACTAGGCTTCGCTTGGCTTTGGGCTAGTGCCAGTATGCTCCGCAGGGAAAACACAGGCTAAATAGCTTCTGCGCTGATAATCCTGCAATACCATTCCTACTGTTTCCCCTGAACAGATAGGTAGGTTCTCATGCAGTTGACCTAATTGACTGGGAAGCAACTCCAACACATCTCAGCACAAGG